AGCATTCATAATGTCTTGGTTCTCTGGGACGGGAGCGTCACCTAGCGGTCCTTCTAGGACATATTGTTTCCTGGCAGCTATGAGGATGATCCTCAGGTTCCGGACCCAGTCCGTATAGTTGTTGCCATCATCTTTCAACTTGGTTTTCTCTAGGAACGCGTTGAAGTTCATGTTGACATGAGCGTTGGCCATTTGATCTACAAGACATATTATGCAAAAGTTTTAGATTAAGTTCATGATAATTAAGTTCATCTAATTAAATTATTTAATGAACTCCCACTCAGATTTGACATCCCTCTAGTCATCTAAGTGTTACACGATCCGAGTCGACTAGGCCGTGTCCGATCATCACGTGAGACAGACTAGTCATCATCGGTGAACATCTCCATGTTGATCGTATCTTCCATACGACTCATGTTCGACCTTTCGGTCTCTGTGTTCCGAGACCATGTCTGTACATGATAGGCTCGTCAAGTTAACCCTAAGTGTTCTGCATGTGTAAATCTGTCTTACACCCGTTGTATGTGAACGTAAGGATCTATCACACCCGATCATCACATGGTGCTTCGAAACGACGAACTTTAGCAACGGTGCACAGTTAGGGGGAACACTTTATTATAAGGAATCATCTTATTTACTACCGTCATTCTAAGTAAACAAGATGCATAAAACATAATAAACATCACATGCAATTATATAAAGTAGTGACATGATATGGCCAATATCATATAGCTCCTTTGATCTTCATCTTCGGGGCTCCATGATCATCTTGTCACCGGCATGACACCATGATCTCCATCATCATGATCTCCATCATCATGTCTTCATGAAGTTGTCACGCCAACGACTACTTCTACTTCTATGGCTAACGCGTTTAGCAATAAAGTAAAGTAATTTACATGGCGTTCTTCAATGACACGCAGGTCATACAAAAAATAAAGACAACTCCTATGGCTCCTGCCGGTTGTCATACTCATCGACATGCAAGTCGTGATTCCTATTACAAGAACATGATCTCATACATCACAATATATCATTCATCATTCATCACAACTTCTGGCCATATCACATCACATGACAATTGCTGCAAAAACAAGTTAGACGTCCTCTAATTGTTGTTGCATCTTTTACGTGGCTGCAATTGGGTTCTAGCAAGAACGTTTTCTTACCTACGAATAACCACAACGTGATTTTGTCAACTTCTATTTACCCTTCATAAGGACCCTTTTCATCGAATCCGCTCCAACTAAAGTGGGAGAGACAGACACCCGCCAGCCACCTTATGCAACTAGTGCATGTTAGTCGGTGGAACCGGTCTCACGTAAGCGTACGTGTAAGGTTGGTCCGGGCCGCTTCATCCCACAATACCGCTGAAGCAAGATAAGACTAGTAGCGGCAAGCAAGTTGACAAGATCTACGCCCACAACAAAATTGTGTTCTACTCGTGCAATAGAGAACTACGCATAAACCTGGCTCATGATGCCACTGTTGGGGAACGTTGCAGAAAATTAAAAATTTTCCTACGGTTTCACCAAGATCCATCTATGAGTTCATCTAAGCAACGAGTCAAGGGAGTGAGTTTGCATCTACATACCACTTGTAGATCGCGTACGGAAGCGTTCGAGGGAGCGGTGATGATGGAGTTGTACTCGACGTGATTCAGATCACCGATGACCAAGTGCTGAACGAACAGCACCTCCGCGTTCAACACACGTACGGTACGGGCGACGTCTCCTCCGTCTTGATCCAGCAAGGAGGAAGGAGAGGTTGAGGAAGACAGCTCCACCGGCAGCACGACGGCGTGGTGTTGGTGGAGAAGCAGCACTCCGACAGGGCTTCGCCAAGCTCGTGACGGAGAAGGAGAGGTGTTGGGGAGGGGAGGGGCTGCGCCTTGGCTTGTGTATGCAGCCCTCCCCTCACCCCTCTATTTATAGGGGAAGGGGCAAGGGGGGCCGGCCCCTCTAGATGGGATCTAGAGGGGGGCGGCGGCCACGGAGGGGGAACTTGCCCCCCAAGCAAAGGGGGGCGCCCCCTCTAGGGTTCCCCCCCCAACCCTAGGCGCATGGGCCCAAGGGGGCGCGCCCAGCCCTCTAGGGGCTGGCTCCTGCCCCACGCAGCCCATGTGCCCCCTCGGGAGGGGTAGCCCCTCCCGGTGGACCCCCGGAACCCTTCCGGTGGCCCCGGTACAATACCGATATGCCCCCGAAACTTTCCGGTGTCCGTTTGACAACTTCCCATATATAAATCTTTACCTCCGGACCCTTCCGGAACTCCTCGTGACGTCCGGGATCTCATCCGGGACTCCAAACAACATTCGGTATTCACATACAAGTCTTCCTAATAACCCTAGCGTCACCGAACCTTAAGTGTGTAGACCCTACGGGTTCGGGAGACATGCAGACATGACCGAGACGGCTCTCAGGTCAATAACCAACAGCGGGATCTGGATACCCATGTTGGCTCCCACATGCTCCTCGATGATGTCATCGGATGAACCACGATGTCGAGGATTCAAGCAACCCCGTATACTATTCCCTTTGTCAATCGGTACGTTACATGCCCGAGACTCGATCGTCGGTATCCCAATACCTCGTTCAGTCTCGTTACCGGCAAGTCACTTTACTCGTACCGTAATGCATGATCCCGTGACCAAGCACTTGGTCACTTTGAGCTCATTATGATGATGCATTACCGAGTGGGCCCAGAGATACCTCTCCATCATACGGAGTGACAAATCCCAGTCTCGATCCGTGTCAACCCAACAGACACTTTCGGAGATACCTGTAGTGTACCTTTATAGTCACCCAGTTACGTTGTGACGTTTGGTACACCCCAAGCACTCCTACGATATCCGGGAGTTACACGATCTCATGGTCTAAGAAAGAGATACTTGACATTGAAAAAAACTCTAGCAAAACGAACTACACGATCTTGTGCTATGCTTAGGATTGGGTCTTGTCCATCACATCATTCTCCTAATGATGTGATCCCGTTGTCAACGACATCCAATGTCCATAGTCACGAGCTAGTCAACTAGAGGCTCACCAGGGACGTATTGTGGTCTATGTATTCACACATGTATTACGATTTCCGGATAGTACAATTATAGCATGAATAAAAGACAATTATCATGAACAAGGAAATATAATAATGCTTTTATTATTGCCTCTAGGGCATATTTCCAACAATATTACACTTGTATCACCATCTCTTCGTTGAACTAGTGCACCTATACAATATACCATTGTATTGGGTGTGTTGGGGACCACAAGAGACTCTTCGTTATTTGGTTGCAAGGTTGTTTGAGAGAGATCATCTTCATCCTACGCCTTCCATGGATTGATAAACCTTAGGTCATCCACTTGAGGGAAATTTGCTACTGTCCTACAAAATTCTGCGCTTGGAGGCCCAACACAAGTCTACAAGAAGAATGTTGTGTAGCAGACATCAACCGCCAAGGCTATTGATTTCTGACCCCTACCTCTGACATTGGCGTCCTATCCATGCTCACATCCACCTTTGCATCGGTGTCTCATGAGGTCACATCTGCTATGTTTTCCATAGGCACATGTCTTGAGCACTTTACCAAGTGACAAAATACCTCATTGGCGGTTCATGCTTCACATGGCATGTGCATGACTACTCACCCTTCGGCCTGGCTCTAAACGTGTGTGCATCTCGGCCCTCAACGATGCATGCTACCATGCTCCCGATGACCCAGAAGTATAGGGGATCGCAACAGTCTTTGGGAGTAGTATTTTACCCCAAATATATTGATTCGACATAAGGGAAGCCGAAGAATATTTATAAGCCTTACCAGCTGACTTATCGATTCAACCACACCCAAGAATCACTTCCTTGCACCAATTTTTTTTCCAAACGGGCCTTTCTCCCTTTCCATTAATTTCTTAACAAAAATACAAAGTTTGTTACCATAACCTAAAGTAGCGACTACACCATGACTAGGAGAATAAGGTAGAGGGGAGAAAGTGAGTTGGAGCACTAGCTGGAAACCTGCCACTTGGAGCTCACATTCGAAACTCCGATTCTAGGGCTAAAACCAGCTAACACCAATACGACAAAATAGTACAGCCAAACCCACTTCCCAGGAGACAGTTCCTCAGAGCGACAAAGAGAAAAACAAGCCAACTACTTGGCTGATACGAAAAGTTATTATTAGCATAGTGATAGCAATAGTAGTAGGGTAACAACAGTAGTAGCAACGGCAGCAGTAGCAACTCAAGCAAATGTGATAGTATCAAAGAGTAGGAATGCTTGCTAGAATCATAGTTTAAAAAATCGACCGGAAATCGAACCGGAAAAGTTGTCGGTTCAGGTTTTTACCGATAGGACCGCTGGTTCATCGGTTCGATTGTCGGGTTTTTTAAGCAATAAAATAATATATGTTGAGTAATATATGCGCTAATATAGTGTGAAACAATGGTCAAATAAAATTATTTCCATGCAGTGGACAACAAAGTAGCACATCCGAGTTGGTTATTGGGCCGTGGGGAGGTCCCGCGTACTGCTCACACGACATGGGATTGAATCCCACTTTCCCAATTTCTATTAAAACATTTTCTTGGTTTTTCGTGGTTCAATGGCCCGGTTTTTTAACCGGCTTTCTAGAAAACCAGCCGCTTCGATCGGTTTTCTCCGGTCTGATTGCAAAACAGTCTTATTAGCTTAGAAAACAGCTGAGGCCGCCGGTTCCCTTTTTTCCGGTTCGACCGCCGGTTCGGTCCGGGTTTTTTAAACTATGGCTAGAATACAAATAGTGAAGAATATCGTTGTGGCAAATGTAGGGCTGATCTACAATAATGGGCAAATGTAGGGCTGATCTACAATATCGTTCGCGCCCCCCGTTCGTCCCTCCCCACATCAGTTCCATCGCGATTCCCAACTCGCAAGCAAGCAAGCGATTTCTCTCAGATCTGTAGAGTTCTTAGCTCCGATTTCGCCTTCGAGTTTCCGTTTCCCCATTCAAGCTTAGAGAGGAGATGGCGAAGAATGGAGGAGAGGGCCCAGCGATCGGCATCGACCTGGGCACCACCTACTCGTGCGTCGGCGTGTGGCAGCACGACCGAGTGGAGATCATCGCCAATGACCAGGGCAACCGCACCACGCCCTCCTACGTTGGCTTCACCGACACCGAGCGCCTCATCGGCGACGCCGCCAAGAACCAGGTCGCCATGAACCCCACCAACACCGTCTTCGGTACGTCCTCCTGCACTGCTCCTCTTCTTCTAGCTTAGATGGATCATCTCGTGTTCGTGCTTGTACTGCTACGGTTGATGCTGTGCTCGATTATGTGCGTGTATGCGTTTTTTATGCGATTATGTACCGCAATGCAGATCATTGTAGTATGTAGTCTGAATTTTGTTTTCTAAATTTGTTTGTTCACTGAGCTTAACGAGTAGCAAAGGAATGTAGAGCCAAGTTGGCGTCGTCCAATTCTGCATTCTCATGTATTCGAAGAACCGGCGGAAATATATGCAATCAATCTGATCTAGAATTAAAATCCGCTTAGTTCCAGCGAGATTCTGTAAAAAATTGCTGATTAAGATTTCTGTGCTGAACAATGGGAAGGAAGATAACTTGCTGGGTTAGCTGAACAATTTGTTTGGGGGTAAATTTCGGTTTCTTGTTTGGGACTTTTAAACAGTTCCTTGACTTGTCAAAGCTCTACTGCTGCTCTGCTTGTTTGCTTTTGTTATGAGTTTGAGCGTCAATTATCCAGTCGAACAGTTTGACTGACATTCCTGCTCCATCTCCATCGCAGATGCCAAGCGGTTGATCGGCAGGCGGTTCACCGACCCGTCGGTGCAGAGCGACATGAAGCTGTGGCCGTTCAAGGTCATCCCCGGCCCTGCTGACAAACCGATGATCGTCGTCCAGTACAAGGGCGAGGAGAAGCAGTTCGCCGCCGAGGAGATCTCCTCGATGGTGCTCATCAAGATGAAGGAGATCGGTGAGGCCTACCTCGGCACCACCATCAAGAACGCCGTCGTCACGGTGCCGGCCTACTTCAACGACTCGCAGCGTCAGGCCACCAAGGACGCCGGGGTCATCGCCGGCCTCAATGTGATGCGCATCATCAACGAGCCCACTGCCGCCGCCATTGCCTACGGCCTTGACAAGAAGGCCAGCAGCTCTGGCGAAAAGAACGTGCTCATCTTCGACCTCGGTGGCGGCACGTTCGATGTGTCGCTGCTCACCATCGAGGAGGGCATCTTCGAGGTGAAGGCCACCGCCGGCGACACCCACCTCGGCGGCGAGGACTTCGACAACCGCATGGTGAACCACTTCGTCCAGGAGTTCAAGCGCAAGCACAAGAGGACATCAGCGGCAACCCTCGCGCGCTGCGCCGGCTGCGCACGGCCTGCGAGCGCGCCAAGCGCACCCTGTCGTCGACCGCCCAGACCACCATCGAGATCGACTCCCTGTACGAGGGCGTCGACTTCTACTCGACCATCACCAGGGCTCGGTTCGAGGAGCTCAACATGGACCTGTTCCGCAAGTGCATGGAGCCCGTGGAGAAGTGCCTGCGCGACGCCAAGATGGACAAGAGCACCGTGCACGACGTCGTGCTCGTCGGCGGATCCACCCGCATCCCCAAGGTGCAGCAGCTGCTCCAGGACTTCTTCAACGGCAAGGAGCTGTGCAAGAACATCAACCCCGACGAGGCCGTGGCCTACGGCGCCGCCGTGCAGGCCGCCATCCTCAGCGGCGAGGGCAACGAGAAGGTGCAGGACCTGCTCCTGCTCGACGTCACGCCGCTGTCCCTCGGCCTGGAGACCGCCGGCGGCGTGATGACGACGCTCATCCCGCGGAACACCACCATCCCGACCAAGAAGGAGCAGATATTCTCCACCTACTCGGACAACCAGCCGGGCGTGCTGATCCAGGTCTTCGAGGGCGAGCGCGCGCGGACCAAGGACAACAACCTGCTGGGCAAGTTCGAGCTGTCCGGCATCCCCCCGGCCCCCCGCGGCGTGCCCCAGATCACCGTCTGCTTCGACATCGACGCCAACGGCATCCTGAACGTGTCGGCCGAGGACAAGACCGCCGGCGTGAAGAACAAGATCACCATCACCAACGACAAGGGGCGGCTGAGCAAGGAGGACATCGAGAAGATGGTGCAGGAGGCGGAGCGGTACAAGGCCGAGGACGAGGAGCTGAAGAAGAAGGTGGAGGCCAAGAACGCGCTGGAGAACTACGCCTACAACATGAGGAACACCGTCAAGGACGACAAGATCGCGTCCAAGCTCCCGGCCGCCGACAAGAAGAAGATCGAGGACGCCATCGACGGCGCCATCAGCTGGCTCGACACCAACCAGCTCGCGGAAGCGGACGAGTTCGAGGACAAGATGAAGGAGCTGGAGGGCGTCTGCAATCCTATCATCGCCAAGATGTACCAGGGCGCAGGGCCGGACATGGGTGGCATGGGCGGTGCCGCCGGCATGAATGAGGATGCGCCGGCCGGCGGAAGCGGTGCGGGGCCCAAGATCGAGGAGGTCGATTAAGCTGAGAGCGGTGGTGATTTTGGCAGCGGGAGTCTGAAGTCTCTGAACTCTGAAGAGTGATGGATTGTAGTGTTTGGCTGTTCTCAAGGCAGGTTTTTTAGTGTGGCTGAGTCGAGAGGGAGATCTTTTGGATGGATGTCAGTGTTGTTGATGTAATCCTCAACTTTCGATCGATTTAAGTAGCCAGCGTTGTACCGGGTGTTTGCTTGGATCAAGTTATCTTCCCTGTTTCGTTCTTGTATATCTGTGCAAAACGTGCCACCGCACGATCAACTGACTTGACCATGGGTTTAGGCTTCAGAGTGCAAAATCTGACGTTCACTACAGAAAGTCCTATTAGAGATTTCAACATAAACTACTCCCTCCGTCCCATCCCTCCGTCCCATAATATAAGTAGATATGAATACGGTTGTATATCGACGTATTCTAGAGTGTAGATTCACTCTTTCGTATTGAAATCTTTAAAAAGGCTTATATTTAGAAACAAAGAGAGTACTTTTTCTTTTGTTCCTCCTTCAGACAGGGTTGCTGTGCCAACGGCCAAGATCTCGGTAAACTTCCCTGAAGCGAGTACCAGCGCTGTACTGAATTTTGCTTGAATACTCGTTGACGAGGACATTCACCGCAGAGCAGGGGGGAGCAGCCTTGGTTGAGAGTGAATTTGCTCGTTCAGGGAGTGAAGATTGCAAAGCAGATTCTAGCAAATTCATGGGATCATTGTTGCTCCACTGTCTTTGGTACCATTCAAAGAGACCATATGATTCAGAATCACCAATAATCTTTTAAATCACTAAGCTCCCTGGAAGAAGAACTCGAGGAATCAATTGAAGCTCAATGTGAGCTGGTACAAATACGAATGCGTTTCGCTAAAGAAAACGAACACGAATGCGTTCCATGCCGCCATCTAGGGCCGTGCTGCTGGCCATGGAGGCTGGGATATTCGACGGTTCCCTCACTAGAGCTGGCGGTTGCGGGCTTGCAGCCACGATCAAAGAGTACGCAATGCTGGTGTTGGCCAAGATGGCCACGAAGACTCAGGACTGGAGCGACAACGATCACCTCATCGGCAGAGAGGCACCACAAGCCATGATGCCCCCTACAGCTTTTATGGATGTTCTCTTCCAGTTCAAGTGTTATTTTCTAAAAAGAATTGCGAACCAACCTGTCGTTGTTGGTTTGGTGTATAGTGGTAAGCATGCTAATTACCCACTCTTCATCAAACTTTTTTTTTCGAGAAAACGCAAAAGCTTTGCGTTTCTTTGCATTGAAAAATGAGGAGTTCAGTTACAAACGTCCCATGACGCGTGAATTACGGTGTGATTAGTGTACATCCCATGTTTGTGGCAGTACCAGCCGGAGGCCGGGTGCCCCAGCAGCCGCCTAAGAGGAGGCCTCGCCCTTGATCCTGTAGAGAAGCGTGTTCATGGATGGCGTTGCGTTGCCGAAGACGCAGCTGTTCCTGTGTTTCCAAACCATCCAGGGCACGAGCAGCGCAGCGGATTTCAGGGCTTTGTGAAGTCCTGGTGGTGTGTTCTCCTTGGCGTGCTTCCACCAGTCCATGAGGGAGGGTTCGCGGTTGGGGATCGGGGCTGGAATGCGCAGCCAAGCCAGAACCTCATGCCATGCCTAGTGGGTGAAGGGGCATTCCGGTAGCAAGTGTCGGAGCGTCTCCGGTTCTTGATCGCATAGGAGGCAGTGGGGGTGATGTTGCAGTCCATGTCGAGCCAGCCTCTCGGCCGTCCAGCACCGGTCTTGGTTGGCCAGCCAGTGAAAGAATTTCACTCTTGGTGACGCCCAACTCTTCCAGATGAGCTTCCAGGAGTAGCAAGTGGTCGATCCAGGGAAGGTGGCCTAGTAGCAGGATTGTGCGGAGTAGGTGCCGCTCGCTGTCCATTTCCAAATCAGCTGGTCCGGGGCGGCGGAGAGCATCGTGCGTGGCATGACCTGCCATAGCTGCAGATACTGCCCAATCTCGTGCAAGCCCAGGTTGCCGTGAATGTCGCATGCCCAGGAGTTGCCAATCAGCCCGTCCGCCATGGTTCTTGCCATGCGACATCGCTTGGGTATGCAATCGTAAAGATTAGGTAAGAGTTCGCGGACGGATTGGCCATTGATCCAGCGGTCCTCCCAGAGCAGGGTGGTCCGCCCATTCCCAATGGCCATGGTCGTGGATGCCCAAAATAGCGCGCGCTCCATGGGTGAGAACCGGAGATCGAGCCCTTGCCCTTCACCAAACTTGTAATTGCCTCCTTTCCTATTATTATATTACCTCCATCCCAAAAAGCTTGTCTTAGATTTGTCCAGACAAGCTTTTTGGGACGGATGAAGTAGTAAATAAACATTTGAGCGCGATAGTAAGGCGGGATTGTGTAAAATATGTCCTGCACATAAGTCGTTTGACACAACATTGGACACTTGATGAAACTTCATATATGAGGACAAACAGTTACCCAAATCATTAAGGTAGCAAAGCAGAGTACTAACACCAAGGGCAAGTATCAAGGCAGTGGTTACATTATACAATATAAACTGTTAGATATGTTGAAAGATTTATTTGCGTGTGAATTTGTCCTACAGTTAATTTTTTACATACAGAAATACAGGTGGTACATGGAAAAAAAAATAGTTGCATAATTCAAAGAAGTTTTAGATAGCAGCGGTAATCGGCATTTACATGACTATGAGCACAAATTGTTGAACAACGGTACATCACAACATTATTGAAACATACGAAAAGATTCTGAAGATAAGAATAGACTGACAACTACAGTAAATCCAAAACCCCAAATCCCCAGGACGTCGATGAAAACATCTCACCGAGAAAGTTATGTATTTGATGCATCTTCAAGGCACGAGTGCTCGTAGTTGTATCTGCTCCATTTCTAAAACTGATTCCTTGTATATGTGGCCCAAACGAAAATGAATATTATGGGCCAAAATTCCATCAACAGGCTGAAAAGGATTCTCGTTGTCACAATTACCAGTGCACGAGTTAGCCCAATTCGAGTACATAATGGTTGTACCAGAAGAGCTGACTTTAACCAAAAGTCCATTTGTTTGCATATGACAACAAGAGGGCTAATGACGCAGATAGCAACGGCAGACTTGTGAGCAACTCGTGCTAGCACGATGTACAAACCTAGTGCAAAAGTTGTTATGAAGCATGTGGCCGATGTTGACCCAAAATACAAGGCTGCGATTAAGTAAATTCTACGGGTCTGTGGGTTTAAAATGGAGTATCCAGAATACATGAGACCTACCATAGCCATCCCAGACAAGACGAAGGAGAATGTGCTGGCTATTATGAATGCATCAAATGCATAACTCCCGGCAAGTGTTGGTGTTCCTCCATTAATATGTTCATCCGCTTTGTAACCTCCAGGAAGGGCAAAAGTAACAGTAAACGTCGCAGTTGCAATTAGAGCCACACCAATGCATAGTGTTTGTGTTGATTCTTTCAACTTGTCTAATTGTTCCGTTTCATCATATTTTAACTGATGAGTGTAGTTTTCTTCAAAGGGATCACGACGACTGCCACCACTCCTAGCATTAACAACTGTCAATGCAAAGTGTATCTTTGCTTCACTGATCTGAAAAGACGAAAAAGAAAAGAAGGTGAAGCCAAACCACACAAATCTCCATTATTTGCTTTCAAATCAAAAGACTGTACCAGGCTATCTACTCCATTAAAAGTAGAGATGTAGATGCAAAAATACCTAGCTTTCGCATTTTTAAAGTCCAAAAGCCTTTCTCCTATAGATGATGTAGATGAAAAAAAAATACATCTCCGTCTTTTGAAGATGTAAAATACAACACCTTGCATTGCAAATTTACATCATGAGCCAGGAGATGTAAACCGCCGCGAATGAACGCCAACAGCGAGCATGGAAGTTCCATTGCCCGATCCTTTTTCCACCACCGCCGTCGCCGCCGCCGCCTATCGATTCCGGCTAGCTCCAGCGCCGCGCCGCCGCCCTGGCCAGCTCCGGCGCCTTCCCTACCCAGCTCCGGCGCCTTCCCTACCTATTCCAGTACGCCGCCAGCCATCCCCGCTGCTCGAACCTGTAGCTGCTCGAGGGTGCGTCGGCGAAGGTCACCGCTACTCGATCCACCATGGCAGTCGCATAAGTAAACCGCACAGGAACCGGCCGCCTTCATCGCCGTGGCCAGCTAGGACGAGCGCGGAGGCAGGGCAGAGGGCCGCTCGATCCAGCCGGTTCCGTGCGCGCGCCTCAGCGGCGACCGTCCCGTGCTCTGGCCTTTTAAATTTTCAAAAAAAACTAACGCCCACATGTGTGGCATCTTGCACATCACCCACACGCCTCCATCACCACTTATTTTGACACGTATGAACAGATGACATCAGCAGGAATCTTTTTGGATTTTGGCTTAAAAATATTTTATCTCTTAATTAAAAAATCAAATTAAAAAATATGTTTTCACCATTAAATCCGTCTCGACGAGATCTTCAAAACTAGACCCCATGTTGATATGTTGCGACAAAAAATAATTTGCCCAAAAGTTGCCATGATGTTTACACTAAGTTGCCATAGTGCTTAAACTAAAGTTGCCATGTGGCAATTTTAGTTTGTAGAGCATGGCAATATTAGTTTTTTGATGATGACAATTCCAGTACTTTGACCATAAAAATTATTTTTTGTATGAACCATGGAAATTTTAAGTGCATCTATCATGACAATTTTAGTTTATGGTTCATGGCAAGTCTAGTTTCTTAATTCTCCGTTTTATAATATATTAAAATTTACTTTTAAATGTAGAAGAAAATAGTTAAAACATATCATGACAATTTTAGTGTAAACATCATGGCAATTCATGTGCAATACACATGGCAACTTTTAACCCAAAAAAATTTCGTCGGAATATATTGATATGAGATCTAGTTTCAAAGATCTCGTCGCGATAGATTTAATGATGAAAATGGATCTTCAATTGGATTTTTCATTTAAGAGATAAAATATTTTAAAAACTAAAAATCCAAAAAGATCCCCACATACGTGCATGCGATGACATGGTGCAGTCTGTGTGTTATAGGACGTGTGTGTTACACGTGTGGGCGTTTGCGTTGTCCTAATTTTTTGACTCGCAGTACAGAATACGGCTATGCATTTTGGATTTTTGGCTGCAGTACAGGACTTTGGGTGCTGCTGCATACAGTCGTTGATTATGTGTGTGTGTGTGTGTGATGAATTTGCAAAACTAAAATTACATGTATAGTTGGAGTTTTGTTCAATACATATGCAATTGTGAAGAACAAACATGTACTAGTTGAAGTTTGTAGTTTTACATCTTCAATTTACATCTTCTATTGGAGTTGCTCTTTTATATCTTTGTTTTTGCATTATTTGTTGGAGTTGAACATTTTTTGGAGATGAAAAAACACTTTTTGGATATGTAAATTTTTAAGTAAAATTGGAGAGGGTCAGGTGGGCCTAGGCTTCCGGCCTTGCTGGGCTTCACGGGTTCCCTCTCCCAATCCTTTTTCTACTTTCTATCTCTAAACCGAAACTTTGAGAAAATAAATAGAGAGGAAATCTCATAAGGGAAACATATTTTATGGACTTAGGAAAATATTTAGTTTTTTATGAAATTGGTTTGAGGATTTTTTTGGAAGATTTAAATTTGGACAAGTTTGAATAAAATTCAAACACATTTGAATTTAAAAAACCCTTTAGATGGAATCTAAACAGAAACTTTGAGAAAATAAATAAAGAGGAAATCTCACAAGGGAAACATATTTTCTGGACTTAGAAAAATATTTAGTTTTTTATGGAATTGGTTTGAGGATTTTTTTGGAAGATGAAAATTTGGAAAAGTTTGAATAAAATTCAAAGACGTTTGAATTTAGAAAACCCTTTAAATGGAATCCAAATGGGCTGTAATTTTGGACAAGTTTGAATAAAATTCAAAAAAAGTTGAATTTAGAAAGCCCTTTAGATGGAATCCAAATGGACTGGAAGATCAACATAAAACCACATAAGTTGCAAACCAAATAATGCATACATTTCCTATTCATTTTGTAAAGATGGTATGGCTTAAAGTATAATTATTTTCATGTTGTGAATAATTGATGCGGGTCACAGATCAAATCATCACACTGGTGTTTTAGGCCATTCTTATTCGGTAGGGGTATCTTTGGTTTCTTGTCCATCCGTTGTTTTTTCTTCCGTAAGTCGAGAATTATAAAAGGTCCACGATTATTAAATATAGACATTGCACTACCATTAAACGGGGAAGTCCCAAGAAAAGAGACTGTTGGAGGAGCAGAATAATTCGGCTTAGCTCCAAACATACCGGACAATGAAGCACATTCGTACTTCATTTTCATTAAATCCGAGTGTTCCTTAATTTTGACTCGCGTTGCAACGCACGAGTATATGCGCTAGTAGTCTAAAAACTATCTAGCCAGAATTTTCTAGACTTAGCTTTTTTTAAACTGGAACTATTTTTCTTCTACGGGTATCACAGAAGTTGGGAAGTACGACTCTGTCACGACACGTAGTATGGCGTGATCTGGTAATCAACAACAAAGAAGCAAATATTGGACTCGAACTAGGACTGGTGGTGGAGATGAATCTGGTGGAACTCGGGCTAGTGGTAGATATATGTAGGTGCGGTGGAACACGGACTGGTGGCGAATCTATGATGGAGGTGAACTCGGATTGGCCTGATGGCGGCGGATATGTATGGGAGGTGGAGTCGAATTGGCGTGATGGCGGTGAATATGTATGGGAGGTGGACTCGGATTGGTGTTGGTATATGGCAGCGGTGATTCAGATGGTGCGGTGGTGGTATATGGCAGTGACGATGACGATGGCGCGGCGGCGGCATGACAACTTGTGAACAGAACTTAAAACTCTAAAAGACTAGACACTAAGATCAACAACGTGACACGATGATGCAACCGCAAATTCAACAAAGCAAACACAGAAAAGATTATGCAAATGGCTCAAATTGGTTTGGATATGATGAAGTAACCCTAATTTTGTTTTGGCTTTTTCATGGACCGTGGGTATGAAGAATAGATGCGATCTAAACTACGAAAAATAGGAAAATCTCACTGAACAACCTGGAAATCTGATACCATTTGAGAGAGACAAAGGTATCACGTCTTTCGATGAGATGGTGGCTATCATTTTTGCTAGAGTGGACTTTGATGATCCGACTACGAACGTGCGAGGACGTCGCGCCTTAGCAATCGCTAAACCAACTGCAAGAGTTATTGACAACCCCGGAGCACGATCAACCTGACCACGAGGGTCTGTTTCCTGCATGCAAACGAAGAACAAGTAAGAAATTGAAATTGCAATCTGGATATTATGAATATAAGAGAAAAGTTTTGTTAATGAAGGTGGGATTCTGTGATGTCTTTGTCTGGTCGTAGAACACAAATGAAGTACGCGAAGTTGCAACTATGACGAACTTTTAATCTAAAAAAAACTCGAAGTCTAAACGACGCCCTAATGGAGGGGGGATGTCGTTTCCCCTTGGAGGAGGGGTCCGAAACCAAACCTAACTCTGTTCCCCACACATACAGACTCTTAAAACAGCCTATACTGAAGTATTTCAAAATTACATGGGCCTGGCCCAATAATAAAGTGACGCAGCACCTATAATAGCCTCTGGACAAGATTTATGAAGTAGCATCTTGTATATTTCGTTTAAGCCTTCATGCCATTATGGTGGCTTCAAATCCCTGAAATCATCACTTGAAACTCCATCCTTCTTCCCTTTGCGCATGCTATCATCATCATGTTTGATCTTGCTCCAATGTTCATCCTTCTTGTCCAAGCTAGGCCCTTCATTTGTAAGCAAAATAAATGTATCCGATTTAGGCAGCATCATATTCTTATGAACACTAGAATCATTACCAAGAAACGAAAGTACCTGATAATTTAATTGGCGTGCGCGAGCTCTAGTAATTAGTCCAGTATATATGTAGCAGCAGGGATTGTGGGTGTAACTGTAGTACTGATATCCTCATCACTTGGGGTGTAAGACAAATTGCTTGTATACTCAAGTTATATACTGTTCATGATCTTATAAATAAATTAGATGATAATGAACAAAAAAGACGAAAGTATATAAACCTCTCGAGACAGGCTTTCGCCCCGCTTTACAGATAAAGCAACAACCTTCTTGTGCATGGCATAACTTTTATGGTTAATAATCCCAACATCATTTAGGCAATCAAAGCATTATTGATGTTCTATTTCCTAATGCTCCATGCTTCCACAACAAAAAGAAGTAATTATTAACTTCTTTGCGAAAGGGAATGAACAACTATGATCAAAATTGTAGAACCTAATGTATTGTTAGCCCAGATCAATCTTAGAGAAACAGGTGATCTATGCATATAGCATACAGTTTGCAAAAGCTATAAAACAGGAATACATATAAGGTGATTCATCATTACATCCAAGACATAGAGTTTCCAAAAGATCTCCGATAACCAGAGGATAAGGAGAGTTGGTTTCAGGTGGCTACATACTACCAAGTCATATGTAAGATAACTACATCCTGATAACCCAACATGAGCTTACAAAATCTTGCGAGACTTAGTTGCCCTCTCAAAGATATCAACTATGACAGGAGGACAAGACCTTTTAAGGTGTGTGTAGCCTTTGCTTGCCAGCACAACATCCATTCTATTAGCCGTGAGCATAAATTGAACGCAAGCATCTTTAAGGTTGCTGCAATGATGCTGGTCAGCCAGAACTAATGTCATCGCCACAGAATCAACGTCGGGACTCCTGCAAAGAATGCCTTCGCAGATTAGCTTCAGTCTTTCCATGGCATACTTATCTGCAGCCACAAGCAAATGCTTGACCATTTCTTTCTGGTCACTGTCGCAGAGGTCAAGCATGGAAGGCAATGAATCAGTGTAGATAAACTTAAGCAACGCCTTAAAGACACCAGGCTGCATATCCTTGACGGTTATCCTCCCTGTTCTTTTGTCGCTCATCGGCCCATAAAGCTCCGCCTTGAATACCGGTGACCGCATTGCAAGCACAATCTTGTGGGCAAAAAAAGACTCCCTTTTAACCTTGAAAATTACATCTGCTTCCTCCCCTGATTCTAAGAGTTTCCCAAGTTGTCGTACAGATCAGAGGGCGGCACCTGGACCTGGAAGTCCGGCGCGGTCTCCTCCACCTGCGGTTGCCTGACGATGGTGACCTCGCACTTGATCACGAGGCGGTCATCCTCCAGGTACGGTGATGATTCCAAGACTGCCCTCTTCATGAACTTGGGAAGCCCCCAGTCGGGTTGTATGTGGCCGAAAAGCATGGGAGCCACCCGATGGATCAACCTGGTGGTGGCCGGGTCCGACGGGACGACCAGACTCATGTCGAAGCCCGCCCTTACGTCGGTCTCCAACGTCAGTAGCTCAAGAAAGACCGAGATGTATTCTTGGTGTTCATACAGTTCTCCGTCGGGGTAGAAGACGATGGACCACTCGCAGCCACCGACAGTGAAGGTGGCGGAGCGGACAGATTCGCCTATGCCAAGGCCCTTGTGCTAGCTGTACCAAGATATCTCGAACGCGTGCCCTCCTCGTGCGGTCCCTAGGCTGGACCTCGATGAAGTCGTGGTGATTGTCCTCTGCGACGATGCCATTGCCGGTGTTTGCGTGGTGGAATTTAGGGCAGCGGCGGCGGCGGCGCGGCGAAGAGGAATTTCCGATTGAAAAGACGAGGCAGGGCTCGACGTTCAGAAAAATTTGTTAGAACTAGCATTGTAACCTCAACTTCTTCCTTTATCTCATATTGTAACCAAACTCTTGTACCTCTTCTTGTACGCCAAGGCAAGGCCATCGGCCATCGGCCTCTCCTTGTACGCCAAACTCACGCGGCTCCCCTCGAGGGAGTAGGAACGCTTCCACGAAATCCTACATGGTCATGAGAGCCACCTCTTCCCAATACATCTAGCCACGTATCGAAACCCTAGATCACACATCATCGTCTCCATGTCTTCCTCAGCCGGCGTCGCCCTCAACCTCGGTTCGCCGCCATCTGAGAAGCTTGCAAGAGGGAACTATATCCTCTGGAAGACGCAGGTTCTCCCGGCCCTGCGAGGTGCGCAGGTCACGGGGCTCCTGGACAATTCTGACGCCACTCCGCCTAGGATGGTGGAGGTCACGAAGGCGGACAAGACCACGGCCCTAAAGCCGAATCCCCTGTACGGGGCCTGGATCGCCAAAGGCCAGCAGGTCCTGTCATACCTCCTCAACTCCATGTCTCCAGAGATTCTCGCACAAGTCGTCGGGAAGGATTCCACCTTCGAGCTCTGGACAACAATCACAAACCTCTTCGCCTCACAATCGCAGTCCCGGATCACCAATCTGAGAACTGCAATCACAAATACCAAGAAGGACACCATGTCAAGCTCAGTGTACATGGCAAAGATCAAGAGCCTTGGGGATGAACTAGCTGCTGCTGGGCGTCCCGTATCTGATCCAGAGATGGTGGATTATATCCTTGCAGGGCTGGACCGCGACTACAACTCTGTGGTGGCGGCGATCAACGCTATCAAGGGCACTATCACGGCGGACGATCTCTTCGCTCAAATATCTGCCTTCGATCAAAGGATGGAGATGCTAGGTGACTCCTCCTCAGGCGGTTTTCATTCATTTGCAAACGCGGTTTACAGAGGTCATTGTCTGTCCCGCGGCAGGTCTCGCAGGCGAGGAGGCAGGGGGCGCGGCCGTGGTGATCGCGGTGACCACCAGCCCTCTCCTGCCAATGGAGGCGGCGACTTCAGGAGACGTACTCGACAGCAACAATAGCAGCAGGTGCGCGAGAAGCAACATGACTATCCTGATAGTCAGATTTGCTACAGACATCATCCAAGAGGTGCACGTGTTTGCTGGTAGTGCTATAAAGAGAACGATCAAGAAGAGAAGGAGGCGCATGCTGTCTCCTATGGCGTGGACGCCAACTAGTACGCCGCCAGTGCAACAACAAATCACATTATAGGAGAACTTGACAAGTTAACAATGTGGGAGAAATACAACGGAGGCGACCAAATTCGCACGGCAAGCGGTTCTGGTATGAATATCACACATATTGGTAGTTCAATTGTTAAAAACCCCATGAAAAATTTGCACTTGAAAGATGTCTTGCATGTTCCTCAAACATCCAAAAATCTTGTTTCCGTTCATAGATTCACTCTTGATAACAATGTTCTTATAGAATTCTATCCTTATTTTTTCTTGGTCAAGGACTTGAAAACAAGGAGAATCATTCTTAGAGGACGGTGCGTGGGAGGCCTCTACCCACTCATATCATCATCATCATCTTCCTGGTCCAATACGCAAGAAAACATTGTCACCAAGCCATCATCATCAAGGTGGCATAGTCGTTTAGGTCATCCATCTTCAGTCATAGTTAAATATGTTCTTAGCAAAAATAAACTCTCTTATGAGAATAGTATTGAGTCAGTTTGTGATCTGTGTCAACACGCAAAAAGTCGTCAATTACCTTACCCCATCTCTACTAGTGTGTCACGCCCAATATGCGATACTATCCTAAAGAGACTTGAAGGTCCAACCAAGGATAGAACCGCATATTGAAACGCTTTTGCAAGGTGGATATCATTACATCAACATTACATAATAGATGTGGATACATAAAACACGAATACAACATCACAATACATAAGAGCATCATCCGACTACAGATGAAACACAAACAGAAACTCAAACGACATCCATCCTGCTAGCCCAGGCTGCCGACCTGGAACCTATCCCCTGATTGAAGAAGCAGAAGAAGAACTCAACGCAAGCAAGCATCGCTCTCGCGTCATGATCATCGCATAACCTGTACCTGCAACTGTTGTTGTAGTAATCTGTGAGCCACGAGGACTCAGCAATCCCATTACCATGGGTATCAAGACTAGCAAAGCTTAAAGGGAAAGGAAGGGGTAAAGTGGTGAGGTTGCAGCAGCGACTAAGCATGATATGGTGGTTAACATACACAAATAAGAGCGAGAAGAGAGCAAGCGAAACGGTCGTGAAGCTAGCAATGATCAAGAAGTGATCCTGAACTCCTACTTACGTCAATCATAATCCAAAACCGTGTTCACTTCCCGGACTCCGCCGAAAAGAGACCATCACGGCTACACACGCGGTTGATGCGTTTTAATTCAGATCTGGTGTCAAGTTATCTACAAGCGGACATTAACAAATTCCAATCTGCCTATAACCGCAGGCACGACTTTCGAAAGATTATACCCTGCAGGGGTGTCCCAACTTAGCCCATGATAAGCTCTCGCGATCAACGAAGGATATACCTTCTCCCAGGAAGACCCGATCAGACTCGGAATCCCGGTTTACAAGACATTTCGACAATGGTAAAACAAGACCAGCAAAGCCGCCCGATGCGCCGACAATCCCGATAGGAGCTGCACATATCTTGTTCTCAGGGCAACACCGGATGAGCAATCCCTACAACTAAAACCAGACCTCAAGTTTCCCTGAGGGGGCGCTGCAAAGGGCTCTAGTTCGGACCAATACTTAGACAAGCACTGGCCCGGGGGGGGGGGCTAAAATAAAGATGACCCTCGGGCTCCGGAAACCAAGGGAAAAAGGGGTAGGTGAGGCAAATTGTAAAACCAAGGTTGGGCCTTGCTGGAGGAGTTTTATTCAAAGCGAACTGTCAAGGGGGTCCCATAAATCACCCAACCGCGTAAGGAACGCAAAATCCGGGAACATAACACCAGTATGACAGAAACTAGGGCGGCAAGAGTGGAACAAAACACCAGGCATAAGGCCGAGTCTTCCACCCTTTACCAAGTATATAGATGTATTAATAATATAAGAGATATTGTGATATCCCAACAAAAACCTGTCCACCATGGGGCAATCTTCAGCTTCACCTGCAACTAGCAACGCTATAAGAGGGCTGAGCAAAGCGGTAACATAGTCAAGCAATGGTTTGCTAGGAAGGGTGTCAAAGGTTAGAGGCTGACATGGCAATTTGGGAGGCTTGAAGAGCAAATGATAGGTAGCGCAGCATAGCGATAGAACGAAGCAACTAGCATAGCAATGATAGTACTGAGATCCAGGGTAGCGGTCATCTTGCCTGAAATCCCGCTAGGAAGAAGAACGAGTCCATGAAGAAGACAACCGGACGTAGTCGAACGAATCCTCACAACTCCGGAACGAAACCGAAGCTACCGAGAGAAGCAAACCGGAAAGAAGAAAACAACATGGTAAACCAACAAGCATAAGCATGGCATGATGCACAATCAAGTATGATGCATGTCCGGTTTAATGAGGCATGGCATGGCAAAGTGCAACAAACAATACTACAAGTTAAGTGGAGCTCAATATGCAACGAGTTGCATATTGACGAAACACCACATCAATTATTTAGTTCTCTCTCGTTTAGGTACACAACAATATTAAATGTTGTTAAACATGGCAAGAGGTGGAACAAAAGTAATCTAACTATTTAGGCAAGTTTAAATGAGGCCGGAACAACAAACAACAATTCTGGAAAATCCCCATATGCATATTTTAGATTCGGTACTGTTCTGCCCTAAACCATATTTTAAGGTTGTTAAACAGGAAAATAAAGTGGACCATGTTAAACTAGGCATTTTTCCACCCCATTTACATATAAATTTTATTAAAATTGGAGCTACGGTTATTTAGTTATGAATTAAAGCATTTTAGCATGGCATTTATGCAAATTAATTCAAACAACACATTTACACAATTTTAACATGGGTGAAAGTTGCAAATTATTAATCTACACAAAATTCTAAGCATTTTACATGTATAAATTATTTACAAAAGATGCATGGTTTGTGAGTAATTATATGCATGAAGTTCAAGGGTTTTTCTGTAAAATTTGTTAAACACTGGAATAATGCTAAATTCGCAGGACCAGGAAAAAAAACATATCAGGCCGAATTAGAGCTACAGGCCGAAACAGGACATGGGCGCGGGGGCTGCTCACCAGGCCTCATGGGCCGGCTCGGTGGGGAGAAGGCCAGGCA